GATATATTCCTTCAGGTTTCTAATGAAGATAAAAGAGACAAGCTACTAATGAACAGCTATCTTAAAGAACGACCAAAGAAAATTGAAAGTTGTCATTTGGTATCGCCGTATATAGAGTTATAACTTGTTTTTCCGAAGAAAAAAATATATGTTTTGTTCTATGCTGTAAATTGTATTGTAAAAATATATGATTAAAGTCATAGTCTTTGTGAAAATATTATCATTGGTATGATAGCAGACTTCTAAGCTTGTCAAATTATGTCCCTTGTTACCCCTACCTTGTCATAATAATACCATATAGATATAAATAATAACTATAGTTTAAACACACAATTACCATATAATTACTGACTACTTCTGCCAACTTCTGTGATAATTGGAAACAAGTTAATGCCATGATGGCAAATTGGATCGCAGAATTATAAAAATCTGGAATCTCAGACGCCAAAAAGCATCATATTACATCACGTGACCCTTCATGCGTCACATGACACGAGTCTTGAAATCCTCTCCATTCTGCGCACGCTCAGTCACAATTCATTCCATACGTCAATATGGCAGTTAGCTAGTAATAGGGTATTTCACATTCAGTTTATGCAATTTCCATATTCCTTCATCTTTAGACAAGGCAGCAATTTAAGAGTCGTGAAAAATACCATGTGTAGATAATATCTGTAAATTGAAGCTTTCGTCTTTTCTTCTGGCGCCAAGAGTCAGACCAGAGATGGTATTAGCCTGTGATAATTTTCATATTATCCTTTAAATTATACACAAGGAGAAAATATTATGACACGAGGTGCTCTATGGACATTAGAATCTGTCAGAATTGGTCAAACTGTTTCAACAACAATCGACTTTGCCATTATTCCTCTTATCGTGAAAAGACATGGAATCCCACGTGATTGTTCCTGATGGACTTTTTCATTGCGATATCTTATCTCTTAGCACGTGTTATTGCGAAAAGTCCCTAAATCCCTTGTCATTTCTGGAAGTGGAAGAAATTACACCAAAATCTCGTTACTGGAAGGTTTCAAGTCTCAAATCAGTTATCTGGAGTCAAATAAATATTTCTACTTCAATATATTTCTCATTTTCTTATCACAAGATTATGTTAATTATTAGACACAGCCATTTTTATGAGGGCTACTGACTATAGTCTAAATACGGTAATTGGAATGATTGAACGATTTAATGAAAAACTAATGAATGTAAGAGTGGAAATATTCCCACTGACGAATATCTTATTGTCTTTTGATTACATGCACTTGTTAAAGAATTATTAAATCGTTGAGATAGAGTTGGTAACAGAAGTGACCTTTCTACCGCGAGTTCAACAGGCTCAGACTGAAGACTCGAGATGATTGATAAAAAATGATACCTCAAGACAACACTGATCCTTGCATTTATATTCTCTATTTCATATCTCACATGCAGAGCCATTATATCTTTCTCTTATTCTCGAGATTGGTTTGTTGGAGCCATCTCATTTTCAGTTAATGCCATGTTGCTTTCAAGTTCAAACAATTTTCAGATGAAATAGAAAATAGTAATTGGGATCTCCTATAAAAAGTTAAATAATATTACTGTTCCTACTAGAGAGGCACGCTATGCTTATTCCTATTAGAGTAGCCGATGGCACATACCGTTCAAATTTCTAGAAGCGTCCTTGTACAGATCTCAAGAATATTGTTTAATGTGATTTTGACTTTCTTCCAGCACTAGTGTTTTAAGGCATAAACAAATCTTGGTGTATTTCCAGCTTCCAAAGAAGCAAAAAGAATCTAAGAAAGATATCTCTCTGAAAACCAAGATAAGTTATGTATGTCTTCCATGTATTTATCGCATATATTATATTGACAGTTAATTGGCACCTATTTACAATCATGTTATATGCCAAATAAACAACACATTAATATTCAAAACTTGTTTTTCTTCCTTGTTCTGTTTCACACATAATGATATGTTTGTATCAAATATCAATCAAATTAAGCAAAGTGTTTGTAACTAATAATCAAATTGTCTCTTGGGATTTTTAACAATTAAACTTCTTCTATGTGACTCACAATCGTTCACCAACCGCAAATGGCCACTTCCAATATTGGTGTTCATTCAGTGGAAAATTGCTTAAATAAAGTCATCGTGAAAAATCAAATATTTTCAAGATTAAATGGTGCTTGGTTTGTTGTTTTGAAACAGACTTTGACAAGACGTAAACACATTCTGTAAACTAGCAATCGGCAAGATCAATATATGGTCTGAAGAGCATGTTTATATTTCAAACATATAAAGTACATTCTATGTTTTTCATGCACAAACCAGGGAGTGTGGACGTCCATATTTGACATGATATGCATATAAGATAAGGACATAAATTATATACATAATGAAATTCCACAATGATTACAATGTTAGATAATAGGCTCCATGGATACAGCACAAACTATCTTGAGAGTAAACGAGGCCTATAGGAAATACTAAACCCGACTACTGGTATATCCGTCCGTTTTTATTGAAGGTTGGTGAAAGTTTCTGAGATGATTTTCGATACGAGTGGAATCTTGTCGAGCCTAATAAAATGATGATGGCGCCGTGAATTTAACCCAGTAGGTGTCTGTAAGTGAACCAAACACTTGAAATTTTTACCAAGATTAGGTTGAGATAGAGTAAAGTTTTGGAAAGAAGATTAATTCAATTGAGAGATACCCATAAACCTTACCTGGCTAACAATTCTTTATTTTAACTGATATAGACATGGTGAATGCTTCATTGCCATCTGAGTTTCCAGGGATTCCAATTTGCTGTTTTCATTCATTGTCTCGTCTCACACTGATATAAAATAACGTCAAATTGTCGAAATTGAGTCGAATTGTGCTAACATTGTTGAGGTTTGGCGCCAAAGACGAGAAAATTATCAGCAGAAGACATGAAAAACAACAGATTTGATTTCTGAATATCAACTTCACAACGAATAGACACTTTTAGATATTACTGTCTGGAATTGTTCTCTCACAAAATACAATTTCAATTTACCATTGATTGAAGAAAAATCTCACGAATTAGAATAATGTGGTGTTTGTGTGCTGAAATATTTCAAACAGACTTCTGCATCAAAACGAATCAAGTCTTTCTTTGTTTTCTGTCTAATTAAATACCAAGATTTGCCTATTTCTAGCAACACGAATAGAAAAGATAAGTTGTAAATGAATATGATATATGGTTAGATCATGCCAAACTTAGTCAAATGGTTAAACTATCTGTCTGCTTTATCAGACCAAACAATTCATTTATTTCTAAATTTTAATCAATTCTAAAATGTGTTTCAGTAAAAGTTTTATCTCACTCCATTCAGATTATAGTTTTTCATTTGACAAAGTCAAAAAATCTACAGCTCATTGATAACTTCAGACACTATTTTATAGGATACATTCAATAAATCTGTGTTTTACTCATTCAAATCATACAGTAAAGTAAGATATAGGTTATTTTTTTCTCATAAAATATGAAATATGAAGGATATAGACTTGTACCGGTTAACCACGAAAAGTTTACATGGTACTTACTGCTTATATATATTACTAATGATATTTAATCGAAATTATAACACTGATATAAGTATATTATTTCAGTTTCAACTACTTATTTTATAATATTAGTACTTGATAACTGTAATATAAATCATATCCAGTATATAATAGTAATTTGATCGAACAAGACAACTTGTATAATTTGTATATTTTTTTAAAGTTAAAATGCAGATAAGAACCTTGTTTTAGAAGTGTGAATTTGATAACATCAAAATCTAAATTTCTTCTCAAACAAAAACTCATCTCTCAGCTAAAACCAAACATGTAATTAAAATTTTCTTTTTATTTATAAAAAAAAACTTCGAATGATAATCTCGAATGATATTATCTTTGGCAACAGTGAGTGGCAATTATCTAAAGTGAACATCATTAAGATGTAAATTAAAAAATCCCGGTATTAGGGGGATTATAATTAATGAATATTCAAATTCGTGGCCTGTTAATAATATCAAGATATTAATATTCATATGTATTATTCTATAAGAGATGTATGAGATATTGTTAAATTGTTACTACTAAGTTATTGACGTGTTGAAACTGACAAACTCTCCTCAGCCAATTAACAGCCATCTAATATTCTACACTTAACCACGGGACGGCCTACTAATGTATCTCATTGGCCAAATTTTACGAGGCGGTTAACCAATCCACTTAACGCTTACAAATGATGCTTTTATCGACAAAATGTCTTCGATCATCTTTTCACAGACGATCCACATATTTGTTGAGTCTTATTTTATGTCAGTTCCGAAAATGTTTAAAAGTGAAACGCAGGACATCATTTCTTTTGTGAATTAAAGATTTCAGGTCGGAGCATCTATTACACAATTTTCAGTATTTTGTGATAATTTGAGCTACTTACAGTTTTGATTTTAAACATTTGGAAATAAACCTGGATATCATGTCCAACTCGCAAATAATGGGCATTATTCCTAAGAAAGAAAAGATAGATTCAAATGACAATATTATTATAGAAGCTGAAAAACCACAACTATCAAGTAAAGCTTCAGCATTTTCTATAGCCGCTATTATTGGAAGTTCCGAAAAGGATAACAATAACCAGGATAATGATAACGATGAAAATGATGATCTTAGTGACAATGAAGATATCGTCATTGATGATGATACGGCACTTTTACCTCTAGGTAAGTAAATCAATTGACTGTTGAAATCAAAGTTAAAATTTAGAAACATGGCAAACCATTCGGTAAATGTGGATAGTGTTACTAAAAAGGAATGAAATGAATTGATCCTCAAGAAACAAATTTCAATTTAAAAAGTTTTTTTTTACATTTCATAGAAAAATTGGTAGAAAAACATGTCACAGAACCGGAAGTAGTCAAAGTTAAAGACAAATTAACAGCGAAATCTTCTAAAATACCTATTCATTCTATGACGTCATCAGGATGTGAAGAAATGGAACATGTCCACTGTCGTCTGGAAACTAAAGATTTATGGGATAAATTCCATGATTTAGGAACAGAGATGATCATTACTAAAACGGGAAGGTAAGATTCTAATTATGAATTATTTTGACAAAATGTTTTCCAAACTAAAAAAAATAACAAATATAAATTTGAAAGCAGACCAAAATCAGTTCATGAAATTTAAAAAGAGAAAAAAAAGAAATGTGTTACTATACAGTATGGAATTTTTGTCCATAAAATAGTAGAGGTATACATACTTTTATCGCACAACATTATGCATTGATACTGGATATATTTGATAATGAGAATTCTTATTTCCAGGTTTTGTTTCTTTATAACTTTTTGTCAAATATTTTATCTGAGATGTCAGCAAAAGTAGTTTGTTGATTTTCATAATTTAATTTTGATATAAAAGATTTGAATAATTTTTGAGTGAATAATAATTAGATTTTTTAAGTTGTACACAAATTATGTCTTTAGATAAATGATTATATTTTTTACATTTATAATTACACAATACAACAAGTGCGATTACTAAATACATATTATTTTTATACATAAAGAAAGTTGCTAAATAATAAGAAAAATAATAGATATTTTACATACTAAAATACAACATACACAATGTTAATGGAATCATAGGAGACTTGCTTCTTGCTGGGAAAAAAAATGCCAGTCATATACAGATTCGGCTAGGTTTCACCCCACCGGTTCCTGTACATTCGTTTTAATTTTATGTAACAAAAACAAATACCATAGGCTAATGGAAATCAACAGTTCATGATAATATTATAATATCCAATCTGATGATATAATAAGTAAATTGATAGGGTTGATAAACCGCTGGAATTATTTCATTGTTAAAGTATTACATTGTTGTCTTGTTTACTAACCTTATTTATTTATTTATCTTAGTCACTAGATTTGATTAGGCACATTAACTTTGTAAATAAGATAAAACTACTTTCTAACACCAATTGTGACCCGGCACGCTTCAGTGTTCCACCCTTGAGGTCAGTATTTAATGTTCTTTATACTAATGACCACCGAGCCTCTTGAGATAAAACAAATTGTATTAAACTGACCACTTGACCACCTCCGGTCATATTGTCGGCTATTGTTCACTTAACTAGATAGTCTCAATTTAATTGTCTCCGTATAGAGTAGTTTTATTTCTGCCCCATACGGCACCAAATTGTAATCGCGCTTGCGATCAGTACAAATTGAAACCAGTATGTTACCAAAATCTCTTAATTAATCCATCTCATCAATGTAAATCTATGAAATAAGGGTTACAACCAAGTCTGTGTCAGTTAACTGCACTTCGTTCCCGATTTTGTCAAATGTTTCTTCTGGCACCATTTGGACCAACTTATTGCATGCAAACAGGCAAATATAGGAGTTGTGAACTAAAGTCATGACTATAGAAAGTGGAAATTACATTCAGGCGGGGTTTAGAGTAATGAAATTTTAAATCAGGTTTATAATGCTAGAAGAAGATTATTTTTAATAATGGTTTATAGACTAGAGATTATGACCTAGGTTGGTCATAAGATATTATCAACTTGATTTAAACCTATAGTCTAAGTTTATAATTAGAGAGGTCATAATGATGTAAACTAGACTAGGTTTATAATGAGAGACATTTCAAACTACATTTATGATAATAGAGATTAGGTTTATAAGGAGAGACATTTCAAACTATGTTTATAATAATGGAGAGTATAGTCTAGGTTTATAATGAGAGAGATTTTTTCGGGTAATGCTCATAATGATGTAGACTGTAGACTAGTTTTATAATGAGAGACATTTCAAACTAGGTTTATAATAATAGAGACAAGGTTTATAATGAGAGACATTTCAAACTAGGTTTATAATAATAGAGACAAGGTTTATAATGAGAGACATTTCAAACTAGGTTTATAATAATAGAGACAAGGTTTATAATGAGAGATATTTCAAACTAGGTTTATAATAATAGAGACAAGGTTTATAATGAGAGACATTTCAAACTAGGTTTATAATAATAGAGACAAGGTTTATAATGAGAGACATTTCAAACTAGGTTTATAATAATAGAGACAAGGTTTATAATGAGAGATATTTCAAACTAGGTTTATAATAATAGAGACAAGGTTTATAATGAGAGACATTTCAAACTAGGTTTATAATAATAGAGACAAGGTTTATAATGAGAGACATTTCAAACTAGGTTTATAATAATAGAGACAAGGTTTATAATGAGAGATATTTCAAACTAGGTTTATAATAATAGAGACAAGGTTTATAATGAGAGACATTTCAAACTAGGTTTATACTTATAGAGACTAGGTTAATAATGAGAGACACATCGAACTAGGTTTATAATAATGAAGACTTTAGACATAAGTTTATTATAAGAGTGATTTCAAACTATGTAACTATACATAAGGTTTATAATGAGAGACATTTCAAACTATGTTTATACTAATAGAGACTAGGTTTATAATGAGCGACATTTCAAACTATATTTATAATAATGGAGACTATAGTCTGGTTATAATGAGAGACATTTCAAACTAGGTTTATAATGAGATTTGCAGCGGAACATGCACCTACAATGTGGATTTTTAAAAATAAATTCTTTACATAATTATATATAATACTGTGGAATTCATTACTATGTGTCATGTGTGCATATTGCAGTATTTTAGTAGTTTTTACAAATACATGTATCAAATACAACAATATATGAATGTTGTTTGCAATAGACGTGTGTACCTTTCAACTATAACAATGAACAAGTGACTGTATCTGTATATTGAGTTAAATTGTTTCTAAATGGTCGAAGATTGGCAGTTAATTACCGGTGTCCACCTTTCTGTCCACAATCTAATTGTTTTGTTTAGGTCTGATCTTATTTCTTACACTGTTTACTTTCAATATCTTGTTAACACTGCTGATAGGTTTCTTTAAACGGCTATTTTCTCACCCTTCTCGTCCTTTGATACTTTTGACAGGCAATTTAGCCCAGTTGTTAATTTTACCCTTAATAGACGAGTGACATCGAATGACATGACCCCTCCATTCAATCGCAACCTATGTTTGTATAAGCTCTCAGTAGGTGCTTCCGTCGTAAATCAGTTTAGAAAACAAACAATGCTCTTCAGGATCATTGTCGAAACCATATAATAATGCATAAGGTATCATACCATGAGGTTGATTGTAAAAAGTCGTAAGGAAACGCAAAACTTCCTTGAAAGAAAGCAGTCATGTAAGGTGATAGGCCTAACGCGCTTTCTGACATCACAGATAGTAGGCTAACAGACAAATGAATGGATGAAAATAGGGTAATTATGTGCTACAGTGAAATTCAACTGCCGACTTGTCGAAATATTGTTTCCATTTCGTATTCAAGAAAAATACGTTTAAATAACGGGGTTGGCAATAAACGTCCAATTTTAAGAATGATGAATGTATGGAAAGGAAAATAAGCGATTAAAGGGTCTTTAACACGAGAAATATAAACAAATCTTTTGAGTTAAATCTCTCTGAGATTGAACAGCGAACAGTTTTTGGTTGAAGACCCATATTACTTGGTCACAATGATGGAAAGCTTTGACTACCACGGCTATAATTTTCTCATCTACGAGGCTGCAGATTTCGCCAAGAAGATGGGATAAGTAGTGGTTTCATTCGGCGCTGATTTCACAATTGCGAGTCCATGATAATTTGAGTCTATTAGTCGTCAGCCAAATAGCTCCCAATGATATGTAAATTTGCCCAAATTATCATGTGAGTCTTCCGTTATGCAGCCAAACGTAGAATTCTATTGTCTCCGAGATGTTCATCGCTTCCTTAATTGTTTCTCAAGAAGGTTATTATTTGATAGTTAAACACATTATACATCTTACTGGAGACGCTCGTATTTCTTCTCTCTATTTCTCTCTTGTCTAAAATAATTCCTGGTTATTAAACTAGAAGCGTGATTACCATATATAGAGGTGTTTTAAATATTCTGTCATATATTTCATCAACGCAGTGGCAATAATTCCTTTCTTCAGTGTGAAAGTAAATGCACTATATTTTAGGATAATTAATTTTCTAATCCTCTATAAAAACACTCAGCACTTACAAAGATCAGTAAATTCCAGTCCATCTTGTGTTGAATTTTGAGAATCTCAAATATGCTTAAATTTTAATGATCTGAGTCAACTCTTGACAGCTACAAACGTCATATGGATTTCTTATTGCAGTTTCTGTAGACACGGTTTATGAGCTATTTTGTCTACAGAAAACTGCTATGCTGCATAACATGACTTATCAAAACAATTATTTATATTTTACATTTTTGATAAGTGATAAGAAGGATATAATTGAAAAAACACGACCAATTATATTTACAATTCATCTAATTAGCATAGAAATACAATTTATAAACATTAACATTTAGTAAAAGTGGCGTCTTGGAAGTTGTCATGATACCCGTATCGTCATTATCTGAAATGAGGGTCAATTTGAAATGATCCTATATACTATTGACACTTCTACACAGGACAGCACCTAATGTTCACTAAATTCTTAAGACAAAAGGTCCGAACTATGGTTCATCTATAAACAATTGGTTTGAAATAAATGCGATCACACGACCGAAAGTGAACTTGCGCAGTAATTTATCTTCTGATGTATGCAAATGAGCGCGTGCTGGACAGTCAGGTGACATATCGTCTGTTAATGTTCGTCTGTCTTCAGTGTCTCCATCAAATTTGGTCACGGATAACTAAGTACAACCACAACCATCTGGAGACGTGGCGATGCACAAGAGGGGATCACTTTATTTCTATTTTAACAACGTCTGCCATTAATAAAATCACGCTCTCAAATCTCGTACATCAAACGTTATTCTCGAGATGTTCTTCCGATCATTTGAAGTATCTTTATATTGGTACTCTAAAATATAAAAGAGGCCATCAGTTGATACTTAATAAATATCGAAACTGTCCTTTCACATCTTAAAACATATTTTATTAGAAAAATAAATCCTTTACGATTGGAAAAATAGCCAATCCTTGTTGAGAATATTAAGACAAGTGCAAAAATAATGAAGTTGAAATGGGGTTTATTTACAATAAAAAGGTCCTACAAAAAGAACATTTCTTTTAGACAAAATAAAGAAGAGTATCTCAATCAAAATAGAATGTATTAGAATTTTTATCTTTCTTCAATGATATACCACGAGCTCTTGAATATTTTCTTTTGTGTAATTCAACACTTTGATTATTAAACAAAACTCTACGACAGACAGATATTTATTTGTTCAGCGATTAAAAACCGATCTTTCTCAATTTAATTAATTTATCTGAAAATAAACCAGTTTGTAACTTCACTGTAAGGTATATTATCTGTTTGGGTCTTTTAGGTTAAGAATAAGTATAAAATAAGACTGGTCTATTCAATGTATAATCTCTCTTTGACGGGCAAATGTTGACACTATTATAAGTTGAAACGTTTAAATCAAATTTTAGTTTCAGTAAATTGTCCCTATTGTGGTTTGAAGATAAATTAAATGGAGACGAAACAGACAAAAGTATAATGAAAATAAAATGAAGTTTCACAAGTCAAGTCTTAATGAGAAAAAAAAAATATTTAGGTTTGTTCATGACGTGATAGATATTTGTCTGTGGTGTTCTTGCATGGAGCAGAATACATAAATATCAAAATTGAAATTTGTTCAAAAATCAAAATCCAATATGGTCGTTTTTACAAATAATAATTTTTCTGAGGCTACAGTCATTAAAAAAAACTAATACAATATATACATAAAATATATGCAAAATACAATTCATAGATTTTGTAAATTTCTGTTGAAAAATTTGTTTCCTTGTCCTTTTAATGCACATGAACGGAACACAAATACTTGTACAAGATCGACGGTGAAACTGCAATTTGTTTCGGGTATATCACAAATCTCTCAGTTGGTAAGAATAAGACCATGCTGTGATATATACTTGAAATACAATGAAGTATCTTCGTGTCAAAGTGTAGAAATTAAGGAGTTATTAGTCGCACCTGCATGTTTCAAGATTATTTCACTAAAATTACTCGCTGTTGTTGTTAAATAGTAGAAAATTGACATCTAAGCGACTAATAATATGGTTTAAAATCTACACCTAGTAATATGATCCATACCCATTTATTATCTATTTGAATACTGGTAAAAATTACCTTTTCTAAACCCCTTTACACCTTTCTCGTAAATCTCGATTGAAGAATAGAAAGTATGGCGTATATTTTACTTCAATAATTATCCATGATGTTTATAGGCTTGTACAAGTTACACTTATATACATTTATATTTTCATTATCGTCAGAAGTTTACTCACGAAAATTTCACATAGCTATATAATGAGAAAGTAGGTATAATAATGTTAGTTAGAAAAGAGAAAATTGTCAAAATAAACGACTTTGACACTTGCTATTAGTTGATATTTCAATTGTGAAAAATAGATAAAAGGATCAACATTATTTACGAGCATCGATAAATATTAAAATCTGAAAAGATGCATTCTGGATGCTTCAAATTAATAGCGTGCCCTCGTTTTAGATATATGACCTCATAGGGCATTAATAACCAAATAATTAATGAGTATAAACACTTGGAATATCTTTCATTAATTAAAACGTCCGTTATATTTTACCAAATAACATATTTCAATGACTTTGCTGAATTCCTATTCCTATGCCCATATCAGCTAGCCCGATGATAGTTTATTTTTGTCAGAAGTACGTGTTAGTTAATAATATAAGTCTTTGTTCATAATAATATTTAACTGTATCTCGTGATAGAAAGAAATCAAATTGAAAATGATCTAATTTAATCATGGAGGAATGATAATATTTCTCTCATCTTGGCTTCATTTTCATAAGAAAATAATTTTATGTCTAGAAATATGGGAGACTGAGTTTTCTAATTTTCTTCAATTACTCTGGAACAGCATAAAACACACTAAGATGTCCAATATTCAAAATAGCAAATCATTGACACGTTTTTATTGCATATGATTTCTTTTCCTTATAGAATTTTCTAATGTCTTTCTCAGCAAAAAATATAAATGAAAATTTTATGCTATGTTTATTTCAATTTTGTGTGTAGAGATATGATTTTAGGAGATGTTGAAGAATGCATTGGAGATGATTGGAGTTATCGGAATTGATCAGTAATAAAACTGTCGGTATAACATAACGAATGTTCTTATTGACGCCTGGTAGTCACTTTTTAACCAGATTCAATAGACAGAATTGTCCAGACAGAATAATAGTTTATTTTCTGACTTCTACTTAAACTCAGTTAATTGTGTGTTCCATTCCATTTCTGAATCATTCAAGCAACAAGTCATCTCGTTTCTCAAACAGAATCATTTCCAATACACTGATAATGGCATTATTACAGTCGGAAATATATCATAGAACATTTCTCGTAGATCACAAACTAGCGTCAGTCATAACCCGACTGGAAATCAAAGGAGAAGTGAAAATTGATGTTTTAACTTGAAGATTGAGATAGGAAATCAAATCAAATTTTGACACAAGGGATGTTGACTGTTGTATATGATATTGATTGAGTGATGTTAGTAACCAATAGAATACTGGTGATAAGTTGTATATAATTATAATTCTATCTGAAGCAATCTAACATATAGTTACTGTATTACAGTAAGAAATTGAAGTAATATTGTGATATGTTTGTATTAATATCAGTCACTCTACCAATCATCTACACTATCTCTCTCATCTTATAATAAATTTACTCGAACCAAATTAAAATCTAACCTTTAGAACAAATCATTGTTTATCACATCTTCATCTCAATGTGAACCTCAATCTCTTGACATTATGGCGTTAACTTGTTACAACTTTTAACAAGAAAATATTGACGAAAGATGACACACAAATTATTGTAAAATTATCAGCTTCAATTTGACTGACATGTCGAAGAAAAGTCATTTTCTGTATTTCCAGAGGTTCCAAAAAAACGTTGAGTTGAATTCTGATAACTTTCTCAATTATCTTCAATTTAAAAAACGCTATTCAACAATCAATCTTTCAAATGACTTTGCTATATTCATTGGAGTTTCTAAAAAGGAGAATAAAAAAAAATAAACCTAAAAATTTGAACCAATTTTATGAAAAAGCGCCCAATACATTAAGTTTGTTCGTAACTAAATAATTTCCGTTTGGTATTTCTAAAAATGTTTTACTAGTTTATAATAGTTATACAAATTGTTCAATGACAAGAAAATATCTGATACTTCAAATAGCTTCTGTGGTATCAGAGAGGCCTAATTATATGTCTGTGATGGTATATTTTCAGGCGAATGTTTCCAACTTTAAGAGTGTCATTCTCAGGATTAGATCCAGATCAAAAATATTTGGTATTAATGGATATAATCCCGGTTGATAATAAAAGATATCGCTACGCCTACCATAGATCATCGTGGTTAGTTGCTGGAAAAGCCGACCCACCGCTTCCTAACAGATACCATGTCCATCCTGATTCACCATTTACTGGTGACCAACTACAAAAACAAACTGTCTCCTTTGAAAAGCTGAAATTAACCAATAACATGATGGATAAAACTGGACATGTAAGTAGGCCTATATAACTAAAATATTAAAGAAATAAGAAAATATTCAATGAAAGTATAAGCACTAAATATCAATCAGGGAAACCCAGTCACCAGCGTTAGCATGTGTACCTCCTCTGGCGACAATTACATTTCACACTTCTCTTTAATTTAGAGTTATTTGTCCTATTTTAATTTTTTTTACTATTTGCCTTTGCAGGTCATATTGAATTCAATGCATAAATACCAACCTCGTATTCATATTGTTAAGAAAAAAGAGAGTACGCCTTGTCAAGGATCTTTTACCTCTTTAGACGCTGAAGAGTACCGAACGTTTGTTTTTCCAGAATCAGTATTCATTGCAGTGACAGCGTATCAGAATCAATTGGTAAGCATTTTTAATGTTGTAGAAACTATATGATATATGTTAATTTTATCAAATTTGCATAGTTATAGGATCTGTTACATTGATGGCAAGAATGCATGGCTAGAGTTAGGGCTAAATAGACCATTGGTGATTAAAGACGGAATCTTCAATTTATCATGAGCAACTAAAGCTATAATCTTATAGTTAAATAATGAAACCTTTTTTTTTATGAAAATCTTTTTGTTGTACGATTTTCCAGATCACGAAATTAAAGATAGACAGTAATCCATTTGCTAAAGGTTTTAGAGATTCTACTAGACTAACAGACTTTGATAGGTTAGTTTTACTTATTTTCATATCGGTAACAAAACGGTATGGAATAATTCTTATTTTCATTTGACTAATCTATTTTTAAGAGAAATATGATCTTAAGTGCAAAAAAGATAAATGATTTTCATTATATTTCAGTGGTCCTGGATTTTCGTCAAGTTTTGCATTTCCGTATAGAGACACAATGGAGTCTCTTATTCAGAATCACAGCTATGCTAAATCGCCATTGAAATCGTACGTGGAAGGGGTGGAATATGAAGAAGCTATGCTCAAACACAGAGAATATTTGTTAACTAAAGGTAGGCTGTAGACAGTGTCTGTTTCTTCTTTATCCCAATCAAAGTCGCTCAATATCTATGATTGTATTGTTTTGATTTGTTAATTCTACATCTGTTATTTAATAATTTTCTAGTGAGATGTCAATGACGACCCGAGAGACGCCATCATGAAATCTCCTTAGTTCGAATTATTGTCAAAAAAGGAATACGGAGGGACATAACCTATGTTTATCAGTTTCTAAAACATTGAGCTGTTACGTTATCACGACATTAATAACCCCTATCAGACGACAATTCACCCAACTTATATAATCCAGAAGATAGTTTTTGGCGCCAAACGTTTCCATATTTCCTATTTTATAATGTTAATATAGCGAGGATTTGACGAGTGAAAAGTTCCTCTAATATAATCTTCATAACTATTAAAGATTAATATTCGTCTAACTGTCAAAAATAATTGTTTGTACGCATTGTATATTATTAGAAGACGACAATTTCTTTTTTTTTTTGCGATATTCCCGCGAGATTAAGATTTAACGCTTTAGGTTGTCTTACTCTATGAATATTTACTTGTAATCACAAAAAAAAAAAAATTGGTAGTACCAAGCTTGTTCCGGCTTTCTACAATCCTTCATATTGATTATGTCAGTATATCAGAATTTTTCGGTAGAGAAAGAAGTTGTCTTCCTGACAGCCCCACGCGGCAGTTGACAAAACTGATGACATGCTAAATAATTTATATTTGGCTATCAATTTTTTTTATCAATATTAATACTGAACATTGTGTGCAACATTATCTTGATCTTGATACTATATTTTCTATCTTGGTGGTCTTGACTTCCAATCCCAATTACGATTCAACTATACCTAGCTCTATATCACTTTTTTGAACTGTCAGCTATTTAGAAATATGTTTTTGTTAGATTGACCGTATTGCATGATATTATTGCGTGAACATTGGTAATACAACTTCTTGTAAACAAATATATCACATTCAATATTCTACGATTACACCCAAACAGATTAGCGAATATTTTTTAATGGATTAGAAGGTCAACTTTTCCGGCTAACATTTCCCCTAATTTTTGACCGAATATTTTACGATTGAGTGGTTTATGAAATTATATATTTCGCACAATAAATTATTATTATTCACCAATGCAAATGAATTATTTTAAACGCATACTCCTAAAAATATGTTTATAATTTAAATAAATGGCATCACCTGGTGGGATTTATTCTACAATAATTGATCGGTTATATTTAAGACAACACAATTGTCTTGAAAATACAGATTAAATGCAATCGTTATTCTATTTCTCCTAAATGAAAAGGAAAGATCAGCAAATAGACACCCCTGCCTTCATGAAATACTTCCAGCTTTATATTTTTGACATTACAGATTATATATTGTTTACATACATTACGTTCATATATCACAAAAAAATCTTATTGTATATTTCCAGAGGACCCTGACAAGCACGATGTTGTATCTAGTCCAGCATGGTCGGTTTGGAGACCAGTGTCATCCACAGTGGGCTCATCAATGGCCTCGAGAAACTTTTACACTCTTTACGGCGGGTTACTAGGACTGAGTAACACAGGGTTACCTTTCCCAGCTTTTGGTTTCCAACCATTACCCCTACCACATGGAATCCACCGAGAGTTACCATCACCCAGTAGCCCGGAAACTGCATCCTCAGGATCTGCTCGACATATGTATTCAGGACTCTATCGATATCATCCTTATATGCTACATGAACGCTTGAAAAGTGTGTCCTCTGAATCAAGTACAAATGATCCTGGAAGGCAATAAGATTTACATATTAACTTAAAGGAATGATATGTTAGAGGTAGTAATAATGAAGTCTTGCTGCTAGTGCAGGGGTGTGGGTTTTGCCTGATTATGGTACATATGTATACAGTGAGATGCCTTGATATCAATATGAAGATGTTACATTATTTTATAGTGGTGTACAAAACAGTTTTGACCAAGGTAAAAGTACAAATCAGTATTATTATTTGTTAAATTGTAAATATTAATAAACATATTTATTAGAAATCCTAATGTTCAGTGCTGTAGATTATAATTGAATTAAATATTGTTGAATTAAAGTGTGAATTTTGTACCGTCAGTAAAACGTGTAAGGTGTGTGTTTCTCCAGGCTCCAGTTATCCAAAGTTATTTCGAAATTACATTTGTAACCAAACTGGCCGAATTTGACTATACTGATAGATTTAATTTCATGTTTAACTTCACATTGAATCTTGAATATTCTGCTTTTTATTCCCTAGAATAATTAGGTGAATTATACACCATAAGAATATATGCCTTCATTTGGTTGTCTTTTACATGTTAATACCATTATTTACACGAACTATTGTGTTCATCCATATGTCGACCTTTCGCTCTTCACCATTAAACACTCTCAATCAACTTCTACTCACTTGTAGATCTGTTTAATGTTTTACCCTCATATCACCAACTTACAACAACATGACACTTTATAATAGCTTTGAAGTAGCGTTTTACACGTTCTTATGCCTTCAGGTACACACTTCTTACACCAACAATCCGACAAATAGCCGACTTAAACACAATCTGCTTGGTTTCACATTTCAAACATCAATTTGGTCTTATCATTGTCCTACAAGGAAGGGATGCTTCACTCAGAATGAAGAATATATTTCCATGACCTGCAGGTCTTTTATTGGGAGAGCTGGCAGATCACAGGCATACGAAGGGTGCTCTTCATCAAAATTGTCGAGTACTTGATATTTATTAGGAGAATATACTGACTTGTAAAGAATGTTGGTATATCATCATCCATATATCCAGTAGATGTTGGTTTAGTAGAGAAAATACAGTTCTCTGCCTTTATGTTTAAATGTTCAGTAGAACCGGCTAATTCCGTATCCAATATCTTGTCAGGCAAGGTAACATTGGCCCATGGCAACAATCAGACATGAATTATTTTTTTTTTTTTAGTAAAATCAAGTGCGATTACTCAAACACTGCAACTCATCCAAGAGATCATTAATATACACATTATGCATACAAAATAAAATATCACTTTAATTGGAACGACACTTTACTGCAATTTTTTACCAGTTTCGGTACAGCCAAATGCTTCAAAATGGTATAAAACTTGTCCATAGCAGACCCTATCATCAATTTACATACTTTATTCGATAGACCACAAAACAACTTGACGGATTTTGGCTAAGCGAAGGGCAATAACTATAAAAGCGTTCATCAAAATCTTACCAAATTAAAACTCGGTCGAGTTGTCATCATGATGTACACATTAAAATTTCTTGAAAATCAGACCAAAACAGTGGCTAAGAGTGACGACAACATTCGTCCACATTTTCATCTAGGCGCGTGAATATTACAATTAGGATTATGATGAACTATATTTAGCTCCATTCACTTCAACCGAAAGTATTTTGTTTCACTGAAGACGAAGAACTGGGGACCGGCGTTTCACACTGCAAAATTAATGAAAATGACCCAGATCAAAGTATGGCTTGGTGGCGTTTGATGTTCGCGATGTTCAAACCACTTTGTTATACTTAATTAAAATATTTCAAGGGAAGTAACTTTTTCTAAAAGTTTTAAAATATATTTTAGTTATTGTGTTTGTAGGTCAATGTAATATAGAAATTTATAAAAACCAAGAAAAATTCAACCGGTTTAATAAATGATAAGATACAGTAGATACAGTTAAATTGTAAAAGTGTATTATTTAATGTGCTATTGACCATAGAGTTCTCACTTGAATTTTTTTTATATTACATGTAACTTTCTATAGATGTTTTGATAAAATATACACGGAATTGTGATACATTTCTCATGATGCTTCGTATTTCTTGTATACGATATGTAATATAACGTTGATATTTAAATGACCCTCAGAAAACCCGACGATGCCCGAAGACAAAATACCACTTAAATATAAGAAATATCGTTAGATTTTTTCAAGAACCAGTTCCTGTAAAAACTACCCTCGGGCTAATATAATGTTTTCATTGGACATTTACAATATTTGTTAACATTTTGCTGAAAAGCTCACAATACTCACACTTAAAATATCTTTGTATGTAATGTATGGTGTGTTGTGTTTTGTTACAGACGCCTGATTATTTTCGAAATTGTTTTCCAAAAAGATGTTTTGAATATTCAACACCTAGTCATTTACCCTTTGATCACTACAACATGCTGATAAATATTCATTGGTCAAACACAAAATGACGTTCTTCATCATTGAATTGGAATGCCATGCTCATTATCATCTCTATTAACTTAGTACATAAACACTGATAAGGTTTTTAGACTTATAAATATTATTACACACAAGTTAACAGGCCAGTCCAGTATCATCTTCAAACTGTCAATCAAGCCCCTGTCAAATTTCAAGTTTATAACAAAGTTATTAAATCACTAATGGCTGATTTGACACTTCCGGGCTGAAAGGTTTTGTTTAGAGATTGTTGTCTCCATATTACTTTGTTAATTTAAGCTAATCATTATGTTGTTATATGTTTATTAAGATGTTAATACCGACATCTTTCAAACTAACTTACAAGTGTGGCCCAAGGCTCTCTCAATTCAGTAAATATTCTGGTGATTTTATATACTAACTATTGTCAGTGAAAAGTTTCTTCGTATACAAATACAGCAATGGCTAACCAGGTAAGCGTGGTAAATAGCCATAAGTACACTTACAAATATATAGCTTGATAAAATAGGCCAACGTCACTATATTAGTCTATGAAAACAAATTTTCAACTGTCAACTGTCCACAATTCGTTACTATATACTGAACAGATACAGAAACGTCGCAAAGCACAGAAAATAGTGAATTGTTTATTCAAATTTCAAAAAAACAATAGATAATTGTGAGATTTACAGACGCCATTGGAATCTGCGCCCAGACTCTTAGGAAAGCTGCACTGAGTTCTGCTGCATTTCTTGGAAGCGGTTGGATCTGGTTTATTCGTCTTTGGATATCATCACACTTGTAAGTGTTCTTTTGTGTTTAAGTCCGGGGTAAGTGAGGGCCATGGCGTTACTCTGATGTAATGCTGTTGGAGGAGGGCTCTGGTGCACTGTTGTGTAAAACGTTCACATCTTCTTCGCCACACTCATATTCTGCCATCTTCTCTGGAAATACACCACCTGAGAACACTTGGATCCTCCACTACTGATGCCGCCAATGATGTCGTTGGGTGGCTCACACAAGACGTTGCTAACGATGATGGGGAGTAAGCATCGGATCCTTGTATGGACGGCGACAACACAGGTTCTGGGAGGCCGATTTCGAACGGTATCAGCACTGATGGGTTGTTTATGGTGGCCAATGGTCTGACGAGCTGTCTGTGAATCTGTCATGTAGATGTTGCCGCAGGATATAGCGATTTTGTCTTGGTGTTGTGACTCGGGGACAAATACTACGTGGACGGTCATTTGTGCTGTTAGAAGTGTAACAGTACAGTTATGCAATGCAATGGCACGTTGTTCGTCTTTTCCCCCTATTTTGAAGACATAACCATTGAAATTTTAATATTTTCGGTTGGTATTTGGCTGTTTTGGTAATATTCGGCTGTGAAAAAGCACACATAGAGTTACCTCCCTTATGGAAATTATGAGGCCTGATAATCTTTATTAAGTGACCGCTCGGAATCCATCTGCGTTCGATTTCTAAAAGTATTAGCCGTCCAATAATGGAATATATATATACATAGAAGGGAACCGAACTTTAACATTGTTGGGAGGTTAGACGTTCCATGCGCTTGCTGTCTTCACAGCAACTGAATTCTCAGTAGGCGTCAGTTTGTTTTTATACAGACCTCTGTTACGTGTTGCACGTGCATTTCGATTTTCCTCCGAATCACTTACAACTCCCAGGGACATCTGACAGTTCCCAAGGTTCACAACTCTTAAATCGAACGCAACCGATATTATCCATTGAATGTCATAAAATGGCCTTTTTAATGTCTAAAAATCATATTTATAAGGAAAATAACAAATTTGATCGTGCACTACTTTATCAAAATAATCTAAAAATGCGACGTTTCTGTATCTGTTCAGTATACATTTTTTCG